TCAGAAACCGAGAGGGCGCGCATGCGATGTGGATGTGAAAAACGTTTACTTCACGTCACTCCCTTGTCCGAGTAGCTGTGCTAATTACCTGCGCTCATTATAAAAGATGAAATCATCAGCTGGCCGCATTCAGGGCAGCGCATCGTGATCGGAGTAAAATGCACCGTTAGGTCAAGTGAGTTCCGTTAGCGTTTGGTGAACGTTCATCAACGAGTGTCAATACCTCCCGACCTAAGCCGGCAGGACAAGGAGCTTGTGACTCAATAGCTAGAGCGTTAGACTCTGATCAAAAAGGTCGCGAGTTTGAGCCTCAGATGGTTCACCACCTGGGGGCTGGATATGACTGGTGGACGACGGCTACTAAACCAGAAACAGGCGTTCTAGGCTCCCTTGTCTTTGTCGGCAATACTATTTGCCTAGACCGTTGGTTCTACAACCCAATACCGCGTGATACGTGTGCGGGCAGTTTTTAAGAGACACTAAAAAATGTGAATGTCTTGGAGAAACTATCCTTATGACTGAGCAGAGACCCAACCAGTATGTTTTGAGTACGTATGCACTCATGGACGGTCTCAGTGACTACTCATCAGAGATTCAGAGTGAGAAAAAAGGTTAACAGTAAGTAAGTAATTGGAGCGAAACTAAGAAAGTGCATGTACTGTCCTTTCCAGATGGCTTTCCGAGCTTTGAATGGAACTATATGCCCGCCTACGTATAAGCGTATCTAAGAAAGCCGACATGTCGTTCTTCTTATGTTCGGTCGCAAATTTAGTCTTTTCAGGCGCCTTGTTCATAGCCTTAAGTATAAATTCTCCCCCCTTTAGGGTTTTCGATTATGGCAAAAATGTCATCTAAGTATCGTCTACAGAAAGCAGTTTTTCTGTCTTTGGTCAATTTTCTTACAAAGCTCGACATGAAAATATCCGCTAGGACAGGTCCTAATGTACTGCCCATAGCTACGCCGTCGATACGTCGATATAACTGTCCGCTGAACAGGGACTGTACATTCGTCGTGTATACCTGGAGTAGTTTCCGTAGTTGGCCTGCTTACAGACATGTTTCAGCCACATGCTCACGAATTATGTCAATGGTTTCACCCAGTGGAACGTTTGTGAACAAACTGTGCACGTTAAGTGAGATCATGTGCTTTTTCCGTAAATTTTCATTTTTCAGATCATCTACGAACGAAAAGACATCTTTGCTAGTGTGAGTAGCAAGGTTGCATCTGATTGGTTCAATTTGTTGGACTAGCCATTGGGCAAACTTATGCTGCGGTGACCTCTCATTGATAAAATTAGACGTAATGGTACTTCTGGCTTGTGCAACTTTGGTAGTCCGTATAGCCTAGGAATACGTGAACCTACAGGCCTACAGCAGTCGTCTTCTCGTCTAGTATGTTTTTCAAATAACGACTTAATCTTCTTCCCCTATACGGTCTTCCAGTACTTTAGTTTCTTCTTCCCCATGGGTTTCAAAACAGAATTTGCTGGGGTATTACAGTTGCTGAACTATTCCAGTTAGACCAAATAAATACATTCTGCCTATACACGCCACATCAAACTGCGTTTACGGGTTAACATGTAGTTGCGGATGCAAATACATCGGGCCCACGCAAAGGCAGTTGGCAACGTGGTTAACTGAATATATGCGGAAGTGGTTGCTCAGGACAGAAAATAAATACCCAAGATTTCAATCACGAAGCACCTAGTGGACCGACCAAAGGACTGCGATCGAGGTCGTACTTCAGGTCTTCAACGATTTTCCGAGGCCAATGTAATGCGAAGAAAGAAACCAGATCTCTTTAAGCAGCTGGATCATGTGATCAATCTCGCATTGCCGTGGTAACGATCGATAAAGTCATGCCCTCTCAGGCCTCCTCCCTCCCCTTTATGACCGACTGCTGCCCTGTCCTTTGCCCAGCCCCCCCCCTCTTTAATCACACTTCACAACCTTTCACTGTAACATGAACGGCCTTGCTGTGATAACTACCTCCTCCCTCCTCTACCCCCTCATCATGCACCCACATCTAGGACTAATAGCTCCTACTTTGCTATTGTTTTCTGCTCATGTCTCTGATGAAGAATCCGCGACGGGTACCGAAACGTCAGCCGAATAAAAGTGTTGTCCTAGCGATCGAATCTTATTCTTCTCAGCTCCTACTCTATATGCCTATCAAGTTTCACCCTTCTGGGTCGGCGCTTAATTGGCCAGTTAATTTATCTTATTAACAGGCAATGACCGTTTACAGCTGAATAAGAAGTCGCGAAATTGTACGACGTCAATAAGTTCTTCTAGTCTCGTGATCTTTGTTTTGTTCAAATTTCGACCGAGAAAACAATGTTTTAACAGTCGATTTTATTTGCAAATTTTTATTGGCAAATCAGATGGAAATAGGAATACCAACTAATGTAATAAAGGAACTATAAACAAGATGCACACTAAATGTGCAGTGCCTTTTTGACAACCAACTATATAGACAAATAGATGGCATCGTTGTGGGCTCACCCTTGGGCCTCTCGTGGCTAATATCTTCATGGGCAAGCTGGAGAAATTTCAACTTACAGATCAGATGAATAAGCTAAAACACTACGGTCCCTATGTTGACAACATTTTTGATATCGCCCCAAAAGAAACTGATGTAGATGCGTTCCTAAATACTGTCAATGAAACACACCTTTCCATTAAGATCATGTTGGAGGTGAAAACGGCAAGCTCGCTTCCTTTCATGGGCGTCCCCCTAAGTCGCGACCTGACGGTAGCGTCCGTAAGGCACGTTTATCAAATGAAAACCACGTCCGGACAGTATACAAACTTTAGCAGTTACGCACCCATCCAAGAGAAATGCAATCTAGTTCGCTGGTTAGCGCAAGAGGCTGGGCAATTTTTCTCGACAGACAGTATTTGGGTGTAGCTTAAGGAAATCCAAGACCTAATTCGTGAGAACGGGTATTCTGAGAGATTTATCAAAAAGAATAGTATGGTGCGAGAAATAAAATCCACCACACCAATTTTGGAAAAGAAGGCGCTATTCCTCAAAGTCCCCCTTCAAGGGGACACGGCAAACTAACCCCTAATAAGACGCCTTGACCAAGCCGTGTCACGAACTTTCCCAGCAGCGAGAGTTGGAATATTATTATCAACCAACCCGGTTTTGCACCGAAAAGGTAAGAATATGATGCCAGCTCAGACCACCTCCACATGCACCTACTCAGTGAATTGATGTTGTGAAGCAGGTTATATCGGTCGCACGAGTCGGCGCTTATCCAAAAGAAAATGGGAGCATCTCCCGGCATGGCCGAGCGAAGGTGAAGTCAGGAGAATATACAGCGCCATGCTCGCCCACACTGTTGAGTTCAGACATCGTTTAGACCCCAACAAAGCCGTCCGGGTGATTTATAAGGTACCACCGAACTATCCAAAGTCTCTGGGTGAGCGCCTGTTAGCAACAGCAGAAGCGACCGCTAGCAGGCTGAGGAAGCCGGTGTTGTGTGCACAAAAGAACCTCCTACAAGCTCCGCGCCTGGTATGGCCCCTAGTTGTTTAGCTGCATGCACTCGTCCACACTCTCTCTGTCTTCCTCCCGCCTACCCTAGACTGGCTCCACCAAACCCGCCACGCCGCGTAACCAGGCTTATCTTATCGACCTCTGCCCCCTATTCCTACGAGTCATTTGTATGGAAAGACAAACATGTTTTAACTTGTATCCCGTTCCCATATCAATATACTGGCCTGATGAGGATTGATCGAAAGCTTGTCAGAAATGAGTCAGAAAGCCAATCACACCGCTAGCCACCCGGGCCACAATCTGATTGGTCAAATCTTGTACGCTTTGCTTTCCATAAGTAAGCTGTTCTAGGTTTGCTAAATGACTTCTACTTTTGCGCCCCTCTTGTTGCGTTCTTCTTTGGGGGCTCACACAAGGCGTAACTAAACGGTGATATCACGGTCTTTGGCTATATTTACAACAAAGCTTACATACGCTTATCAACTACCCTTCTCAATTCTCTAACGGGAATTTTCGTAACTTTATAATAGAAATGCCGTGGGTTATAACCATACCGATACCGCAGTATTAAGAGTGCTAACCTGAAGAATTGTCAACGGGCGAAATAACGTGATCCTTATGGGAACATTTTGAGATGACTGGACGACCAATAATCAGGCTGCAATGCCTCCTTCTCAGTGTAGCTTTTATGGAACTCTCACGCTTTTGAGCTTCAAGACGCTGTTGCAAACACCAAGTGCACGTTGTAACGGCCAGTTTGTACGTGGGACGCGTAGACGAACTGTTTCTTTTTCTCGGCCACTCGGCTCGCGCCCACCTCACTAATTCATGTGCAAGTTACCGGCACTGCGCCAACTCTGTTGGGTACGCGGTTTAGGCCGTCGCTTAAGACAACGGCCAAATTGTCACTAGATCAGTTCAGACTCGATGCTCCTGAAAATGGCAAGAGTTAAATACAAGCTACGAAGGTGCAGTAGCCGGCAGGGGACTGCAGGCACTCAAGTTTCTGAATAACTAATAAAAATCAGAAATTTCCGAAAGAATACGTCTGATAACTCACCGATAAAGGGTGGTCCAAGGATCATGGCGATCCCTTGACAGAAAAGGCAGAGTCCGAGTCCGCTTACTAGCCGACTTAAGCCTACAAATTCGATGACGAAGATTGTGCAAAGCGAATCATTGGCAGCCATTGTAAATCCAAAGACAACTAAAAAGGTATCAGAGGAGGAAACAAGGCTACTACAAATGACACGGAGAAAAGAATACGAGGAACAACGCATCTGCAGCCACCATGCCTGGCTTCTTTGCAGCTGTCGAACAGTTTAATGTGAATTTGAATATCCTCCACCGTAACTAGCAGGATCTAATAGTCATAACCTTTATTTATATGATCGATGCTCGAGGAGTATGGGCTTGAGAGCCGGCTATTTCCGGTTTGGATGAGAGTGATTTAAGACATCAGAAGAGTCGGAAATGGTCCGTGTAATTTCTCCTGTTGGCTGTACC